CACGTTTGCTCTTGTCGTATTGAACTGATAGTTCTGCCCAGACCGGGTGGCCTCTAATTTGAGGTATGTTGTTGTAGTTCCATTGATTCATGATTCATTATGCAGTACACACAGATTTCCCAGCCTTGTGTTCTGATGCGAACTCGGGGGTTCGGTATCTGCGATTCACTCTATCATCGGACATCAATCCGGTACATTATATATATATATATAACTCACCTGTCTTTCCTTCTTTTAGTGGAATGCTAATAAAATGTACCATTTCTGGATTTTGACCGTCATTGCTGGTGCACCAGTTGTAAAATCAGAATGCCACAGTAAAAAGCATGGCTAGAATGTATTCATTGAAATGACTCATAGACTTCATACAGGTATTGTATTTTAATCTAGTCGATCTGGGTTAGTCTCCGATACGAAGAGGGCGGATGCCAAGTAGTCTACCGGCAGTTGGAGCGCCTGAAGTTTGCACCGGCGAGGTATAGGTGGTGGCTGGAACACAGGGCCAACAGCTGTGCCCCGTTTTCCGAGCGACAGGAATCTAATCCGGAAGGTTTTTCCAGATGCACCTCACTCGATGTCCGCCGACCTACGCTAGCATTCATATCTCCTGCTAAAATGAAGATATCAGCCCGACTCGCGTTACGCAAGAGATCATGTAGTTTATGATAAAATTCATCTTTGACTACACCTGGGAGGTTGTCCGTTGAGGCTTACATCAACACGACAAACAAATTTCGTCTATAAAGGCAACGGATGCCTACTTTGCACAACCCTCTGGATCTCACTGCAGATAACCTTCGACTTCGATCCAATCCAGGACCGCGGCTTCAGCTCTTACATTGAGCGCAATACCAAAGCTATCAAGACCGCAAATCGCAACTGAGAGTCCCCAGAGGGTTGCAAGTGATTTTTTTTGATGAGTTTGATGGGAACGTCAATCGAATAATTCAGTGGCAGTTTTGAATGCGGGTTTCATGAATACAACACACATCGATAGCTAGGGCCTCGAGCATACAAGCTAAAGTTAATGTCCAGCTCATTTTATTACTAACTCATTTCACATGTGATTCTTGCTAACAGTCCGTGTTTCTTCCGCAATCCCTTCGTCAAGTTATACTACAGATTGCAATGAATGCTAATAAAATACTTCAATCTCACTTGTCCAAAGCCGAATCATCGTCCTGTATGGCTGTGATGTAGATTGGTGGACGGAACTCATCCGCACCCTCCTTGTATTTGGCCGCCTCAAACTGTAAAGGTCGAACAAACAAATGAAAATCATCGAATCCCATCTCGTTTGCAAAAGTCAAATAGATTTTCGACAAGACTTCACATTCCCACATGCAATCCATCAACCGATGGCGTATAGTAACCAAGTCTAACAGACGACCCAGTTCGTTCAGCAAATACATCTGACGTGTTTTCCTGTCTCCGCGAGAATTTCGTTGCTGAATGACCGCCAAATGTTGATTTGATAATTCGCACATTTGAATTGCATCCTCAACAAAGTAGGATGAAAACAGCTGATAGGGGAGTGAATATAAATGGGCAACATAAAGAAATGACAAAATCAATCAGACTACAATGAGCAGTGCACTGCTTTGTCGAAATGGAAATAAAGTATTGATGTAAAAAGCAAACGGCGAATTGAATTGTTCGCATGAAAAGCAGATTTGCATGTTTTGGCATCATTGAGTGGCCACAAAAGCACTCATTGTACAGCATAAATACCTGTTTTTATCAGCAACGGCATTACTGAGAGCTTAATATGGTTATGATGAACTATTGACCCATAACGCTATTCCTATAGGTTATCCGAGTTGGTTCCAAGTCGCTTAAGATCCCTCATCAGTATGTCATGTATCAAACTCGTTTTTAATTTTCTTTTCAGTAGGATACAACCATGGTTGACTAAGAGTTTTGCAAGTGGTAACCCCAAAACACAGACAAGATACTTTCACAACATTCCTAAAGAGTATCAGTGGTAAGTGACACATTTGTTTGGAAAAAGAATATGTGAATTGTAACCTTGCGTACTGAAGATCACCACAACAACGTGGTCATTAAAGAAAAACCTCCTGTTGCCATTCTGTCATGGATTCTTTCGTTTGTTATAGAGATTATTGTACCCTGATTTGGTTTGCATACAGTTTGGTATCAAACGCATGCGATATGCAAAAACATACACACACCAAAGTCACATAATTATTTATCCATGGCCTAAGCAGTAAGATATCAGTGTGGATGCACAGACTGCGCTTTCTGTGTTTCAGCGTTGTCTCAAACGTAGTTCACAAGACAAGGTAACTGTCCATGATGGTTAACTTCAGTTCAATTGTTGCGAATTTAATGCACACTGAACATTTGATGGGCAATGGTTAGGTTCTCATCACTTAGT